TTGTTTTGAATTGTGTTATGGCCTAGTATATGATCAGTATTTGTAAATGTGTGTGTGCTTGAGGGCAAAGATATTCTGCAGTTCTTTGCTATAGTTTATATGCTCATTTGGTCAAGTTTTAAAAACATTCAAAATCTTCTGTACCCTGATATTTTTCTCTTTCATTGAGTTCTTTTTTTCTGTTATTCTCTCTTTCTGGCATTCTAATTTATTTTTCAAATTTGGTCTTTCACTTTTTGGACTTTTCATTTCTGTCAAAATGTTCAAAATTGGTTTTTATTATTTTAACCCTATAATTGTTTTATAGGCTATTCCTGATCATTTAATATTGTAAGTCTTTCTGGTCATTTTCTTTTTCAGTTTCTGTTGGTTCTTGTTCTTGGTGTCTGACCTTGTATATCTGGCCATCTTTGATTATTTTCTGTAGCAATATTGTGAAGCCTAGGTTGATGCCATCTTCCCTCAGAGAACTGCTTTTTTTTTTTTTTTCTTTCCTTCACCCAGACAACTGGTAGCACTACCAATCTGAATGTGGGACCGCCTTAATCCAAAGTATATTTAGAGGTTTTATATAGATTAACCAGATGATACAAAGCTACAATTCAAATCTGTCCAATAGCTGGTTTGTTTCTGATTTTCCTTATCCTGGGAGTGTAGCTCTTTGGGGTTTCTGCTTCAAGTGAGTTATGGGTGGTTCATCAGACTTTCTCCTTTTGAAACACTCTGGACTTTGACTTTGTGTTCCTTGGTCTATAAGAGTTTCAAGAGCAAGCCTGTTTTTCTCCCATTTTATGGATCTTCAAATACCAAAAGGACTGAAATGGCTTTGCATGGTTTAGATTATCCCTCTGGGTTCTATTATTTTGCCTTAATTTTAGCCAAGTAATTTTTCACAATTTTGTTAAGTGTTTAGGGCTTTTAAGCTGTTTTTGAAAAGTATTTTCTCTATAATTTGTATTTGTCCTCAAAGGGACATTTCATACAAGTTATATAGTTTGCCATTACCAGAAGCTAAAGTGTCTGAGTTTTTATGTCTTTTTTTAAAAAAGATTAATCAGTGTTATTCATACAAAATTGTAGCTAAATACAATGTGACAAAATTTTTTTCCTTCAGTATGAATACTGGCAGTTAAAAGACCTATTCTTGATACCTATGTTATGTATTCACTCACATATTTAAATTCTTGATTCCCAGTTTACATTATTCAGTTTTGATTGCCCCAGAGAATAGATGGGACCAAATGTTCTTTATATATATTTATATATAGAACTTTTTGGGTGCTGGGCCTTCTTAGTGGGAATGATTAATTTTTATGTCAAGTTTCTTTTGAAATGAGCCATACCATTATTGGCAGAGGAGGAGAAAATTTAAATGTTTCCTGAGTGTTTTTCCAAACCATCCATAGAAAATGAAAAAATGATTCATTCTCAGAAACACTCTGAGCATCTTTTACCCAGAATGTGACTGACTTAGATCTTTGTATGGCTGCCTCCTTGTTATTGCATTGCAATCTCAGCTCAAATGTCACCCCTTTAGAGAAGCCGTCCCTCTCAGTCTTTCTTTCCTCCTTCATAAGTATCAGTATCTGGTGGTAATCTTGTATTTTTCCTAACCCAGCAAAATGTAAAATTCCATGAGGACAAGGACCTTGCCTATCTTGTTTACCATTGTCTTGTGTGTCTTATTTACCCATTCCCTGAAACATGAGAGGTGGTCAGTAATTGTTTTATTAATGAATGAATAGAATAAATATTTCTTCTCAAATTGTGACATCATTTTCTCTCAATGTCACAGCAATCCTTTAAAAATTTGTGATTCCATTGAACTAAAGTTTTCTAAAATAAGTATAGTGAAAGGAGGTCAGTGTGGCTGGAGGGAAGTGAGCCAAGGGAGAGACTAATAGGAGATATTATCAGAGGAGGAGAGGTCAAGGCCTATGGCTCATGTGGATTTTGGCTTTCACTCTTAATGATATGGGAGGCCATTAGAGGGTTTTGAGTGAGAAAAGCCATGATCTAACTTATCCTAAAGAGTTACTCTGACTCCTGTCAGAACTATAGGAAGCTATAGAGGGATATTGAAGTATGGTCTATTCTGGGCTCTCATATCTGTTCCACTGGCTCATTTGTCTATCTCCATGGCAAAATGACCCTGTCTTAATTTCCATAGCTCTTTTATAATCCTCAATATATTCAGTAGGACATCCTTGCCAGATCCTACCCTCAAGGCTAGGCCTTCTTACTTTTCATATCATTCCTTTCTTTTTCCTATTCTTTTCTTCTCATTCTTACAATAGGAGGGTGTTGCTCGTACTTGGAACTCTGCTCTTCCATATATATCGTTAAATCAGCTTGTCTTAATTCTTCAGAAAACCCTTTTGGGATTTTGATTGGAACTGCATTGACTATCAATATGGACAGAATTGACATCTTTATACTGTTGAATCATCCTAGCCTTAAAATTTGGATAACTCTATTTAGGTCTTCTTTAATGTCTTTAAGTAAAATTATATATATATTTGAGTAGAGGTCTTGAATATCTTTTGTTAAATCGTAAGTATCTTACTTTTTTGTTATTATAAATGTGATTTTAAAAAATTACATTTTCTGTTCTTACTGGTATTTGCAAATGTAGTTGATATTTGCTTGTTAAGCTTATGTTCAGCTACTTTGCTGAACACTTACAATTCCAATAATGTTTGTGAATTCCTTTGAATTTTCTATGTAGACAATAGTATCTGCAAGTTCTGTTTAGCTTCCCTCTTTCCAATACTATACATTTATTCATTTATTTTTTATTTTACTGGCCTGGCTAGAACCCACCAGGATGTTTAGTAATACTGTTAATAGGGGTAAATAGTAGAACTCCTTGTCATGTTCTTAAGTTTTAAAGGGAATGTGTCTAATATTTCACACTTAAGAATGATATTTGTTGTAGGTTTTTGTCAGATACCTTTATCAGGATATGAACATTTTAAAATCATTTTATTATGAACATAATGTTCTTTAGAGCTCTTTAGAAAGCTTGTACCAGTTTACATTCCTACCATCAGTATACAAAAGGGCACTACTTCTTGATAGTACTTAACCACATCACATGGGTACTCTTGTTTTTAAAAAGTTCAAATTTTATAGGGAGCAAAAATGTCTTGTTTAGATTTATTTCTTCCTTTTAAATCAACATTTTCTGTCGATATCACTGTTATTCTTCTTAGACAGGATAGGTTTTTTGAAACAAAAGAATTTATTTTGAAAATATTTCAGATTTAGAGAAAAGTTGCAAAAATAGAGTACAAAGAATTTCCTATTTCCTATTGTATCCTTGACCCAGATTCCCCAAATGTTAATATTTTACCATATTTGATTTATTATTCTGTCTGTCTCTTTCTCCTCCCCCATACACACATATGTAATTTTTTTCTGAATGATTTAAGTTGCAGACATGATGCCCCTTTATCTCTAAAAACTTTTGTGCTGTTTCTTAAAAACAGGAGCATTGTTTTTATGTAATCACAGTACTGTTAACAGAAACAGAAAATTGTCATTGATAGTAGTACTATAATCTGTAGACATTTCAATTTTATCAGTTGTCCTTTATAGCAAAAATCTAAAAAACGTTTTTGTCCAGGATCATGCATTGTATTTAGTTATCATGTCTCTTAATCTTCTTTAATCTGGACTTTCTCCCTTTCATGACCTTGACATTTTTAAAGAATACAGGCCAGTTATTTAGTAGAATATCCCTTGGTTTGGGCTTGTCTGTTGCTTCTTGTGGTTAGATTCAGGTTTTACATTTCTGGCAGGAATGCCACAGAAGTGGTGATGTTGGTTTGCCCTCTTATTAATGATGTTAACTTTGATCATTTAATTAAGGTGGTGTCTGGCAGGATTCTTCACTATAAAATTACTATTTTTCCCTTTGTAATTAATAGGTATCTTGTGGGGAGATACTTTGAGACTAATAATATCCTGTTTTCCATCAAACTTTCAACCACTAGTCTTAGTATATATTGATGATATTTGCCGGAAATAATTATTACTAAAGTATGATTGCCAAATGATGATTTTCTAATTCCCTCACTATGTTTATTATTTGTAATTATACTCTACAAAAGAGCTTTTCCTTCTCCCCCCTTTATTTATGTCAATAAGGATTCTTCCTTTTTTTCTTTTTTTTAATTCTGGGGTTATAATCTATTACTATCCTTATTTGTTACTCAAATATTCTCCATTATTCCATTAGGAGTCACTTCAGGCTGACTCCTGTGCCTTTTGATGTACTCCTTACTTTCTGGCACCCCGAAGATATATCCTAGGTTCCTATTGTACTTTTACTGCTCTAGCCTTGGAATCAGCTATTTCTCCAAGGTACCCTGGTTTCTTTTATTGAGGCACCAGTGTGCTCATGGCTATTGGGATGTCATTGCTTCTAGACCTCCTCAGCAACAGAGCTAGGGAGTATATGTATGCGAGTGTATATATTTACACACACATTTATATCTATTGCTCTGTATATTAAAAATGGAGCTAAAATTGTTAACTCCAAGTCTTCCCTCTTTTTGTAACTTCCTTTTATGAGAGTAAGAAACCAAGATCTCATTATTCACAATGTATTTACTTATTTGCTCAATCTTAGGATATACATAAAGAAGTTTCATATCACTGTGTAAAAGTAAATATCCGAGTATAATATTTGTTTATATTTCCTTTTGTTTTTAGCTTGAAGAGAGTAGGTAGTTAAAATACTGTTTTCAAAACCCATGGTTAACTCCTTTGCCCTGGTCCCCTTCAATGCGGTTATGTTATTCATTTCAAATACAGTGGGGTTCATTTGTTTGTTTGCATTCATTCCATTTTGGATTTTTCCCCCCTATTTTTTTTTCATTAATAGCATATAAAACATTAACATGGACTTAAAAGAACTATACAGAAATGTAAGATAGGTTATTAGAGTATTGCAATATAAAACTTATGGCTTTTAATTGTGTTTGTTTTTTCAGGGAGTCATTTAATACTTCACTACTAGAACAAATATGTGAAAGTTCCTGCCAAACAGTGAGAATTTCTTCCTTCGGACATTTTTTGTTCTACTTACTGCACAGCTTTCTCAGTAGTCCCTTTTTTGGTGCCATGTTCTGTGGCTTGCATCAAAAGAGGAGTTTGTCTTCATGAAGATTCCTAACATTGGTAATGTGATGAATAAATTTGAGATCCTTGGGGTTGTAGGTGAAGGTAAGTTGGAATTTCTTCATTCCTTGAATTTTTGAGCAATGTACATTTATACCTACTACCAAAAATGTTACTAATTCAGATTCTGTTAATTTAACATATATCAATTTAGATGTGTGTCTAAGAGTAAAATACTAAAAATTACTCTGAAACTATTTGGGTCTTACTTGTCAATAAAAAAATAATAACATTTAAAAACCCTTTAAATTTTAATAAATCAAGGATTTCTTAATACTCCCTTCATTTCATTCTTTTTATTAGGAATCATGGTTTCTTTAGTCTGCTTTTTTTTCTTGGTTACATTTTATTTTTATATCTGGCTTGTTTTGAATAACCTAAAATTTATTTGAATATGTTAAATTTTACTTAATATGTGGTAAATAAATGAATACATAGTTTCTATTTCTTTATAAACAACAAGCCACATTTTATAAATTCCAAGGTACACATTTTGGTCACATTTTAACATTTCTAAAACTTAGGATGTATCTCATAATCATTAGCAGGTCATAGCTTAATTGGCAGCACTTTTTCTTTCCTAGTAGTACATAAAATAATGCTTACAACTAATGATGTAATTGATTTAATAAAATACGGTAATTTATTTTTCATAAGCTGACTTCTAGAAAAATTGTCATTTCTTCCTGATTTTTCCTGCTTAGTAATTTTTACTCCTGACTTAAAATTAATTTTTTAGAAATTTTGATAAATGATTCTGTTAACAGGGATAAATGATTATAATTATGGTTTCTTAGCATTTATATCTTTAAAGCAAATGTTACAAAAATATCATATTTCAGAATTTTCAAATATATTTTGAATTTCTAAAGAGGTTTTAAATATTTACCTATGTGAACAGCAAAACTGTTTAAGATTTTAAGTTCGTAAATAATAAATAAAAACAATTAAAATAGTTTAATCATTGGGTGCTTATTTCAAGGTCTGAAGTTGAAACCATATAAAAAGAATGGGTCTTTCTTCCTTCACTAGTCAATTCCTTTTCTGTTTTTTTCATTGTATAAAAATTCATAATTTCTTGCCTACTATCTGTTCTATAATAGCTGCCTTTTAAATTTATTTTTCAAAAGTATTGCAGTTAGAGAGTTAGGCAGTAAAGCTGCTGACTGGAGAAGGTTGGCTCATAGGGTCTAACAAGGTTGGAATGTTCCACGGCCTAAGTTTTTCTGGTTCATAACCTTGTTTTTCTCAATATACTCATAGATGATCATTTTTTCAGGGATTGGCTCAAAATTACTAGAGTCTCATATATATATATATATATATATATATATATATATCAGACTATGTTAGTTTAAGTTGTAATCAGAACTATCACTGGTACATTTTTTTTTTCTTTGTAAACTACCTCAGATTTTTTTGGCTAAGAAATGCATACATATTGTAAGTAAGGCAAACTCTACATTCCTGTAGCCTATACAGTGCATTTTTACCCTATAGAAAAACTGGCACTGGTAGTTAAATGGGGCTTGGATGATTGTGAAGTTCAGTTAGATCAGGCGTCCTCAAACTATGGCCCGCGGGCCACATCCAGGTATTTTTGCCCATTTGTTTTTTTACTTCAAAATAAGATATGTGCAGTGTGCATAGGAATTTGTTCATAATTTTTTTTTAAACTATAGTCCAGCCCTCCAACAGTCTGAGGGACAGTGAACTGGCCCCCTGTTTAAAAAGTTTGAGGACCCCTGAGTTAGATGGTTATAATGGCTGGTTCCATCCTAATGAGATTCATCCATTCTCCACCAAAGCAAGGGAGACTCATTGGGCTCCTCTAGACTCTGTTGGAGATAACATTTCCCAGTTTTGTCTCCCTGAAGTCCCCTTCTCATAGATGTATGCAGACTTTGCCTATCTGCTAAAGTCAATGTTCTTAACATTTCTGTAAAGCTTAGTTACCATGCATTATGTTTTGATTCTCTTAATTAAATTTTTTACATTATAACTTTAACTTCAGTTTCTTGGGTCCCTTGCTGTCAACTCTGTGTTCTGCCTCTAAGGAAGTAGTTTATCACCTAGATAATAGGATACATAACCCAAGAGATAGTGATGAATCTCATGGAAATACACCAAGGACAGTGGGAGTGCTTGTGGCCTGTGCACTTAAACCAAGTCTTTATTTGTGGCGAAAAGGTAGCAACTCCTACTAGTTATTACTTGGAATGCTGAGACCTATACTATTTGCCAGTCAGGAGAGACATTCTAGTATCCTAGAGGAAGATTGAAATGTCCCCTAGGACAGATAGCCTATTTGATAGGCTCTGCAAGTGAGTTTACTATTGGGATGTCATTAGCTCTTAAGTTTTAAGTTCCCTAGAATCTTTTGAGTTAATTTTCATTTATTCTCAAAGTTCTTATGACCAAATCTTGTCTCCACAAATGTGTAGCCTAAATTAAAAAATGTCTCAAGTGAAATTTTAACAAGAAAAACATTAAAAATATTTGTTGGGGGAAATGATTTGTCTATACTCCTGATTTATAAAAAATGTGTAATAAAATATCCATGCTCTGTTTGTATGTGGCTCACTATTGCATTATCACCATAGAATATTGTCATTTTAGGAATCATTATTATAACATATACTGATAAACAATGTAAATATAGCAGAACTTTGATTTCTTCAAGAGCTGTAGTTGGTGTGCATGCCCTTGACTGTTTACTTCTTTTTATTATAGGAGCCTATGGAGTTGTACTTAAATGCAGACACAAGGCAAGTACATGATTTTTAAGAAGAAAATATCTATATATTTTTAACTGTGTTTCTAAAGTAGTGCAGAGGTATGTGCATGTGGGCATATACAGGTTAAGTATCTCTTATCTGAAATACTTAAGACCAGAAGTGTTTTGGATTTCGGAATTTTTTGGATTTTGAAATATTTGCATATTCCACATATGTGACCCAAGTCTAAACATAGAATTCATTTGTTTCATGTACACCTTATAGACATAGTCTGAAGGTAATTTTTGACAATGTTTTTAATAATTTTGTATATAAAACAAAGTTTATATTAAGTACATATGTATGGAATTTTCCACTGTGGCATTGTGTTGGTGGTCAAAAAGTTTTGGATTTTGGAGCATTTTGGATTTCAGATTGTCGAATTAGGGATGTTCAATGTGTAATTAAAACTGTCTGATTATGATTATGATGCTTAAATAGAATTAATGTGTGAACTCAGAAAAAAGAAACTACTTTTGGATAAGCTTGCATGGTTAAGTAGTCCTTAGGTCTTTGCAATCACATGCTGTTTTTCCCAAACAACCTGTGCCATGCACCGGATAATGATGTTTAGGTCAACAATAGGCAGCATATACACTGGTGGTCCCATAGGATCATAATATGCTATTTTTCTTATACCTTTTCTGTGTTTAGATACCTTAGACACACAAATACTATTGTGTTACAGTTGCCTACAGTATTCAGTACAGTAACATGCTGTACAGATTTATGGCCTAGGTCTGTAATAGGCTATACTATCTAGGTTTCTCTAATTATACTCTATGATGTTTGCACAATGACAAAATTGCCTAATGATACATTTCTCAGAACATATCCCATTGTTAAGTGATACATGACTGTGTAAATGAAAAGCTGCTTAATAAGAAAAGAGAAAAGGCGGTAGAATGGGAAGAAGAAAGCAAGGTAGTGACAGATTTATATTTAAGTACTTATAAGCAAGGAGTTTTTTCAGCATTTTTCATGTAGACTCAGTAACTTAGATTGCTGGATGGATTCGAATCCAGATTCTAAAGGGTAGTGGATAGATATTTGGTTATGAAGTAGGGCTTGGGATAGTGGGGCATGATTATGATTACTGGCTGTAGTTGATCACCCTTGAACAGCCATGAAATCTTATTATAGATATTTGACTATGATAATAATCACAAATTATTCGGGGAAGTTATCTGAAGTTTTCCATAGCTGCTGTTCATTGTTGAGCATGTTTTACTTGGAGGCTAACTTTAAGAAGGCAAGTATTAATCATTTCAAACATTAGGTTAAATATTTTTCTATTATGGCATACCTAGTCTGGTATAATATTTGGCCTCATTATTTTGCATATAATTTGTTAACACCAAGGTTTTAAGTTTTTTTGGTGTGTGATTTTCATGGTGATCTTATTTATCTCTGAGATGAGCTTAGCAATTTAACACAAAACATTTAAATTCTTGAATTTATTTATCTATCAATAGTAATATATGTGTGTATATGTGGATGTGTGTGTGTATGTATATGTACACACACACAGGTAAATAAAGATGATATTTTTATGTTTGCTTTTCCTTTTCTATTGTATAAAATCTGCTTACCTTTTGGATTTAAGGCTTCATGACAGCTAATATTTTTGTGTTTTAGATCACAAATCTCTTTAATACAATGGCTTTTCTATTCTTGAAATTGGATATTTAAATTATTTTGTGTTGATAATAGTTATCTGAAGATCTCTTTGCCAATAAATCGTTTAAAATGGTTTGAATACTATTGGTTCTTGATTAAGGATGATTAAGAATTTAAAACAATAAATTAAATGGAATCAAAATAAGTTTAGTACCTTGAATACCTTGTTAAGAAATATTATTGCAGTTTGAAATTAAATGGAAAACTCCATAATGAAATTCTATGCTTTTGATGAGTTTCCTTTAGTTATATTTCTGAAGCTTAAAAAAAATTCCTGGGTAGATATTACTTGGGGGAACTAGGCTGTTAGTTTCCGGGTTAAGTTTGACTGCTTTATGAACATAATCCCTCCTTATATACCATGGCTCTGCTTATACAGCATAGCAAATGGAAGCGTCAGTTCTTAATCCTAATCTTGGGTTTTAAAACCCAAGGATTTCTGAGACATAAACATATCTCATATATATACATATATGCATACATATGTTATGCACATACATATATCTGATACATAATATATCATGCAAATAGTCTAAATGTTTTCTCCCAGTCTTTGTCATACTTTGACCTTTGATCCTTTTCCCTATACTTTCTTTTGACTTTAAGTTTTCCTTCTGCCTGTTATGTAAAAATAAAGTTTATTAGTCAAGTATATTGTTTTAATCTTTCTATTTACTCATTTGTTAAAATATGGTTGTTGCACATACCTGGTTCTAATAACACACACTGTTAATGTCAGCAAGATGAGCCCAGAGTAAAAGTGGATGAGAATGGGCATCTCTGCTTTTGGGAAACCCACTCTAAATGTGAACTCTGATTCCTGGTGGCTATGTGTAGAGCACTTGGAGTTACAAGGATGGATAAACCATAGTTTTCTTGCCCTTTTATGGCTTACAGTCTGTCTGAAGAGATAGAAGAATAGATACTTAAAAAGAAAAAACAAAAACCTGTCTAGTTGCTATAAATGAGGCTGTATCTAAAAGTTTTTTCTTTTTGCTGCCCTTTACTAAATGAGGGACTCAAACCAGCTCTCCAAGTATTGCTACTTTCTCTTTTCTTACATCTAAAAAAAAAAATTTCACTGGATAGGAAATTTAAAACATAAATTAGTGCCTATCTCAGAATAATATAAAACTCTTTTTAGAATCTGCAGCTGTTTAGTCATTAGACTTGTTATAGTATATCTTTTTCTCAGCTAAAATCAGACCTTTAAATCTATTTCTCAATATCCAAAAATAGAGAATTTGATGCTTCTGGTGAGATTTATGCTTTAGGATCAAACAAATGAATTACTATGAAACTCATAGTTAAAAATGTATATAATTCTCCCTGTTGTACTCATTATATGTTAAAAAATCATGCCAATATATTTTGTGTACCTTTAAAAATTTAGTGAACTGCTTATAAAAATGCATAAACCAAGACTGAGTGATTATTTATGCATAAATTGGGTATCTTTTTGAAAAGGTTGGTTGTGGGTGTATATATAATTAAATAATTCTTAGCATATTGTATATTTGAGGAAATGTCAAAGTCACTGTTTTAATCTGTGTACTGTTGCAATAATTTAGAGGTTATGTTTATAAACAGATATATCTTGTCTTTTGTGAACACAATATGATGTTGGGCTAATCCAGGCCAAAGACCGTACTTTTTAATTTACTGAAATGAATGCTGCCAAGTGAAAAAAGAAAAATACAGCTTGTACTTTTTTTTTTTTTGACAACTTCTGTTTATTGTTATATATACACATTGGCATATATATGAAAACTCTTAGCAAAGACTGTTAAGCTTCTTTTTATGATTCCTTGTGACTACTCACATTTGAAAAATGTTCTGGTTTGGACCTTTTACCCTGCAGATATGCATTGTTGATTATCTCTTTATTTGCATGTCTGTTTTGAAGTTCCCATGAAAAGGGAGACATATTTTACCACATGATTTTTGTAGCAGAAGCCTAAAAAGGTCATGCTCACAATAAAGTCGGGAGAATTGAATGGGGTTGAAATAGCGGAGATTAGAACTTGAAGAAAGAGGTTATGCAGCCTGATAGAGGTTAGAACATAATATTCATTGAGCCTAGGACAGGGAAGTGCTGATTCATGTAGTTCCTTTCCTGTGGCTGTGGTTGATTTATGAGACGTTTTTGTTTGTTTGTTTTGAAGTAGTACATGACATATGCTTTTGAGGTAGCTAATTGTACAAAGCCATAAACAATCCACTATTGGGGTATAGCCTATAAGTGTTAAATAATAATGTTGACTTAAACTAGAGAACTGAAAATGAAGGATGCAGTAAAGAGTTGTTGCAGTAGCAGTGACTCAGTCCCTGCAGAGGGTGGAAGATGATCTCAAGGATTTGAATGTGGTAAACTGGAAAAGCATTGGTCATCATTTATCTGACTGCAGAACTTACAAAGGCTGTCTAAGTGTATAAAGGCTCTCTAAGAAATAATGAGTTTGGCTTTAATAATAAAGAATAAAAATGGCAGCAGAATATAAAACTTGATACTACTAAGTACCACATAGTGAGTATCTACCATATGCTAGACACTATATTAGATGTCTTAATCTCCACAACAACTCTACTCTTATCCCCATTTTACAGATGAGTAGACTGAGTCACAGAGGGGCTGTGTAATAGGGCCAAGGTTATGTGCCTAATAAGTGGTGGAACTAGGCTTTGACTCCAGAAATAGCTAACTTGAGCATGAGATGGAGCTGTGCCTTTTAAGAGGTACAGAGCAGAGTGAAGGAGATGTTTAAAATTGTGAGACTGAAAGGAGGTAGGCAGACCTCTTGCAAGCAAGAGAAAAAGATTTTTTAAAGATGGCATTTGCTATCAGTGCAAAAATCCATAAAAAGATCGATGATGATAAGAATTGAGGGGTGAGTAAATCCATTTCCTTTAACAATGCCATTTGATAGGTCTGTGATCCCTAACCGCTGGGCCAGGGACTAGTACCATGCTGTTAGGAACTGGGCAGCACAGCAGGAGGGTAGGCCAGCATGCAAGGGAGCTTCATCTGTATTTATAGCTGCTCCCCACCCCTCACATCATTGCATAAGCTCTGCCTCCTGTCACATCAGCGGCAGCATTAGATTCTCATAGGAGCTTGAACCCTACTGTAAACCGCACATGCGAGGGATGTAGGTTGCATACTCCTTATGAGAATCTAATGCCGGGTGATCTGAGGTGGAGCTGAGGCAGTGATGCTAGCGCTGGGGAGTGGCTGCAAATATGGATTATCATTAGCAGAGAGGTTTAACTGTACAATAAATGTAATGCGCTTGAATCATCCTGAAGCCCCT